AAAAAAAAAAAAGAAAATATAGACATAACCATTTACAAAAAAAATACAAAAGAATTTGATAGTACCTTAACACAAAGCACAACTCATCCTAATGACTATTACTATGTATATAATCAGATCATTCATTATAAAATAAATATATGAGAGCTAAATCAAAATTACAAAAATAAAATGTTCGATATCATGGATACTATTTTCATGCTATTTTGACCAAAGGTATGACGTGGCTCCCCCAAAAAGAAAAGAAGTAAACAAATTATTCTGACCTTAAATTATTCTGTGGTGATGGTCCTGCTTCATTTTGTATTGGTAAGAATACCTCTTAAGTATTGTATTTCTCCTAGGAAGCACTCTGCAAGAAAACCTAACTTTATGGCATTTATTTGTTGAAGAAACTCACCAAATTATGTCACTGAAGAACCACTAAAGGCAGACAGGGAAGATATAGCAGTTGAGGTGGAAAGAAATATAGACCTCTTAAGCATGATTCAGGTTAAAGGAATAGCACAAAGGCAAAACTCCCAGATGTGACAGCCATGCTGAGGACTTACTATAAGGACCTACTAAAACCACCTTTATGTTTTACAAATGCTACATCACTTAATTTTCTCAATGAACTCATGGGATGGCCATCAATATCTCTGTTTCACATATGAGGAAACTGAGGCAAGTTAAGTTCCTTGCCCAAAGTCTCCCACTTAGCCCTCAGTTATGAATCAGACCTGTCTGATTTCCCTGGCCATTTTACTATATTATATTGCTTCCACAGGAAGTCAGATGGCCTAATATAAGAAAGTACTTTTGAACAGAGTGGTCTGAAGGCAAAATTAATTGGCTTCAGGAGACAATGAACTTTCCATGCCCCGCACAAGCTGGATTATAACCTAGCTAATGTTGCAGAAGAGGCCAGTGCACAGAATATGCAGCTGGTCTAGGTGGCCAAGCCATCTGAAATTCTACGTATTCATCTCCTCTGAAACAAATCTAGGTGGAGTTCTACTAGAGTGACGGCATGAGGATTAAGGGAGCGGAAGATATCCACTTCTTCCTTTTAGAAAGATGCACTATTCATATAAGTCTTATCCAGGATAAACTGGGTAAAACAGTTCATCTTTGCATCTATAAAGAGTAAATAGGCACTATACCTTTCAACTAAAGAAAGGGAGAAATAGCTCTGGGCAGCCATACCAACATTTTATGGCTATGTTTTTTGTTGTTGTTATATATATATATATATATATATATATATAT